AACGGATTTTTAATACCCTCTGGTAGTACCAAGTGCGAGGAGGTAACGCCATCTATCGGCAAAAATAATTGAATTAAGACAGTAGAATTTTAAAGGCATTAGGAAGGACTGGATTGGACTTCAAATCATTAACTAAACTGCTTTAACTAACAGTAATACAGCTTTAATTTGTGTTTTGTACGCTACCGGCAAAGTTTGAAATCCGACATTCTATAGAATGCCTAGACATTGTATATAATGCCTAAAACTAGCCGGCAGTGTACGAAACGTTTCATGTTTCACACATTTCCTAGGACTTCTGTAGAATGCCAAATGACAAACCGGCAAAATATGAAATACATTTCCGATTCGTTTCGAAGAACCAAACTACTTACCAGAAGTTAATCAATGATGTAAAAAGGACAAAATGACTACTAAGAAGGAATCATGAGACATCTGGCTGCTGAATCGCTAGGATATTATGTTCGTGGAAAACAAAATTGCATTCATTTGTCCTGTTAAAGTAAGAGTCAGTACTATACAGTATTATGTCACGGAGTTCTTTCCCGTACTTCATGAAAATACATTTGAGTACTGGACACCCACGACGTAATAGAATGTTGGAAGAGCTTTCAACCAAATACAAAAAGTTACACGTAATGCTATCGAACTGACCACCTTTGTGAGCCCTGCCAGAAAAAAAAATACAAGAAGGTATTAAAAAGGGCATTGTTGTGTGAAACTTACGATTGTTTCTGAATTTAATTTCATTTTCAGGTAGATCTTACGGATTCCCAGTCTCGGCCAGAAATGTATTATGTTGTATCAAGATTATTTCTTTATCTTTTTTTTTTTTTTTTTTCATATTTCGAATAACAGTTTCTTAATGACACTTTTTCATTAATTTTCAAAATAACATTTATATTTTTGAGGAATGAACGTCTTTGAAATAATAGCTTTTGCTCAAAGAGCATTTGTCATTCTATAGAAGCCTAGGTGTTATATACAATGCCTAGGGAAAGTATTAAATAATTCTCATATTTCATAATTTGCCTAAAATCGCCCGGCATTGTATACAACGCCTAGGCATTTTATAAAATGCCGGCGTTTCCTACTTTGCCGGTAACATGTACACGAAATAATTTTATGACTTACGCGGCATTATGACTTATTGTATGCTGCACTTATGTAAACGAGGATATACAATAGAAAAGAGCCTTCGGAAGATCCAGATAGTTCAGAATATACTTCTTAGAGAGAAAACAGATGCGCCTTGATGCATTAAATATAGTGCTATTTACCAAGACTTCAGACTATGCGTCATCACAAATGCCGCTGTAAAATTCAGTAAAAATGCTGATGAACATGAAAATTCACTTACAAAGCCATGATCAGTTCTCCCTGAATAAGTGTCCATATCCTACAAATACCCTATTATTGGCATTTATTATAACAACTTATAATTTAATATTGCGCTCAGTAAACCATACTCGACTTCTTAAATTACAAATTTTGCGGTTACATTTGCGATTCTCCAAGTTTACCTGTTTTCTTACATTTCTCCAAACATGCGCCATCGCCGCAATTCTTTTTGTGTGAAAATTGAAGAAGTTTCTACGTTATATTGAATTGCAGTTCTCCGAAAAACCATATGATTTTTGTTCTTCGAAATCTTACGTTTTTCATTATCATGTTTTTATATATATATATATATATATATGAATTAGAATACAGTAGACGCTCGTTTTTTACGAACTCGTAGGGACTACGAAAACAGTTCGTTAAATCGAGAGTTCGTAATTTAGAAAGGCATCGGAAATTGGTTAGTATTTCACATTTTAATGTTTTTCGAGACAGGTTAGTGATACTATTCCATGCTTTTATTATGTATTAGGAATTATTTTTAATAGTATTACTACTTAATAAATGATATCCATTCTATTAAACGAACAGAAAATATAAAATATTTGTAAAACGTACCTTTATTAAGTCATTGAGCAACAAAATAATCACTTATCTTTGTCTGTTTAAAAACAACAGATTGTACAATGCAAGACTCCATCTTCTCTATATTTGTTAGATTTCACAATTATCACTGGCCTCAAAAAATCGTCTAAGTTCTGACAAGTATTCAGCAGCTTGTTTCAAAGTCGGTCTTGGTGTTGCTTCATTTTCTTCTTCTTCTTCTTCTTCTGGATCTGAAAGTCTCTCATTCTCGTTGATTATGCTGCTAATAATATCGTGATCCGATATTTTCTCCATCCAGATGACATTAGAATCCACATTTAAAAAATCCTCGAATGAAAGTTCTGGCAACTGTGGATTTCTACGGCGAAGTTCATGCATGAGAACCTCATCTTCGTCGTGAGATCTATTGTCATGGATTTCTTCAGTTACGTCTGTTTCTTTAATACAACCTGCATGTCGAAAGGCTTTAGAAATTGTTTCATCTAAAACATCATTCCATGCACTGATTGATAAATGCATTGCACCAAGAATATCAATCTGATAAGGTTGTTACCTTTCCAAGCCAAGGATTACTCTTTGCAAGAGCACTGTCTTATATTTTCGCTTGAAACTATTGATTATCCCCTGATCCATTGGCTGTAAAACTGCAGTTGCATTTGGTGGGAGATATTCCACACGGATTGCCTGAAGCCCAGTGACTTCCATGTGTGCAGTACAATTGTCCACGATTAGGAGAACTTTGCGCTTCTCTGCTGAAAAACGGTTATCTAAATCTCTCAACCATTTTTCGTAGATGTTGCCAGTCATCCAGGCCTTATTATATTAGCATAATATGCAGCAGGGATCTTCTGAACATTTTTGAAACACCTTGGTTTTCAGATATTTTCCAATAAAGAGCAGAGGCAATTTTTTGTGACCCAGTCATGTTGGCTGCAATCAAAACTGTAAGTCTCTCTTTAGCTTTATTACCTCCAACACATTTATCTCCTTTGTAAGCTAATGTTCTTTCTGGCAAAATCTTAAAAAAACAAAGCCGTTTCGTCCGCATTAAAAAACGTCATCTGCAGCGTATTCAGAAAGAAGCAATTTCAACTTTTCTTCTTTCCATTCATTTGCTGATGACGTGTCTACTGCTGCACTTTCTTTCAACCACACACCTTTCCGGAAACTCAAACCATTTCCGAATATTTAAATTTCTGTAACCAACCATTTCGATGCTTTAAAAAATTTTTTAATGTTTATAATTTGGAAGAAAAAAAGTGTGCTTGTTCTTTAAGTACATTTCCATCAAGGGTTGGAATGTTGAAGTAATAAGCTTCTCATCTTTCGAAACCAAACAAGCAAGGCCCTTTCAAATTTGGGTGTTTTTGATTCTCGAAAATATTTTCGAAGAGGAGGGTCCACATTCAATCGTTTTCCGTTTTTAGCTCCATGAAGATAACTTCTCTCTTGCCTTTAAAATCAATCGATAAACTATTTTTAGGAATTCCATATTTCTGAGGCATTAATTTTTGTGTCTGAATTCCTTCAAGCAGAATATTTTTTTCGTCAACTTCTTTTAAAATCTTCTTCTTTTATTTCAAGAAATTTCAACCGCTATTTTGAACAAATTCATTTTCTTCTTCATTTGTTCGACATAACTCTAAGAATCTTACTTAACAAAAACTGGCCCAATCCCCTCTCGACTAACACCCAGACTTCACTGATTGAGATTTTGTCCAGATCAAATGACTATGATATTGACAAAAGCATAACAACTCTCTTTTAGAAGCAACCCAAAACCCCTTTAAACACGAATGGTCCTCACCCCCACCCTAAATAAACAACAGGCTTTCACTGCGAGCCTGTATGATGCTCTTCGGATCAAGCGAACTCGTTTCAGTACTTTGCTAGTTTCATTGGGACGAAGTGTGAAGGTCAAATAAAATCTCCAACTATTTTGAGGCAGCAAGTGCGAAACATTCGAAGAAGTACAGTAAGGAATTTGGGGGGCGAAGAAGAGGGGGATTAGGACAAATTATGGTGTTTGTTGTGGGAGGCTCTCAGAAGCCACTGCGGTGGCCAGTCTCTTCGGGATCTTCACCAGATTATGCCATCTTCACGTATGATCATACCGGCGCCAAATTAGGAAATTTGATCGAAAATCCTAATCCCCTCTAGGGTCCTCGCCGCGCTCCTGACTGCAACGTACTAACGTACTGTCGCTTGATGGTTTCGCACTTGCTGCCTCAAAATAGTTGGAGATTTTATTTGACCTTCACACTTCGTCCCAATGAAACACGCAGAAGTATGAAAACTGAGTTCGCAAAAAAGAGATTTTCCTGATTTGTAGTTCGTAAATAACAGCGCAAAATTACATTACATCTATGGGAGTGTATTCGGGACCATTCGCTAGTTCGTCAAATCGAGAGTGTTCGTAAAAAAGAGGTTCGTAAAAACGAACGTCTACTGTATATGGAAATAATTGGCATGTCGTTTCAGAAAAAGTCCGATTTTATGTCAAAATATTTATATTAGAACAATTCTATATGTAAATCCAATATATTTCCTAAGTCGCGCTTTCGAGACATGGAAAATGTAATTTGAATTTCGTCAATCGGCCCAGTAGAGCGGGAAATGTAGAACTGTCATCTTTTTTCCGCAGTTGGGCGCTTTTGGAAGACCGTTAAAATCTAAAACCTTTCAATTTTTTTTTTCCAAAGTTACTTTCTTAATTTTATGTGCACAGTAGTACACTGTACGTTAATAATATTTTGTCTAAAACTATAATAAAATTAGTTATTTGAATTGAACAAAACAATTGAAACATTTCATTGTAGCATAATACTGTAACATTGCAGCGGTAAAAGAATTGGGAAGAAACTGACGAATCTTACCGTCTGTTCTAAATTTATTTATTTATGTAGCCCCCCTTTTTTCTTTCTTTTTTTTTTTTTTTTTTTTTTTTTTTTTTTTTTTTACCCCTGACCATTAATTGTCTATATACATTATGTTATTTTTTAATAACTACTGTTGTTGTTTTAAGTAATCATCTACCTGTTGTTTTGTTTCAGCTGCAGCTTATGAAGTGAAACTCTTCCCTAGCCGTTTCTTGGTCAGCTATCAATTTTCCCATTCTGGTCTTGAAGTTTACAGCGCCACAATCGAGACAACTCCTCTTGCCGTATACGGAACTGCGCTTTATCACACAGCCACACTTTCCAGGAAAACACAGGGAGGAGTCTATTATTTCTTTGTTAGAGCGTTAGATGATGCTGGAAACGCAGGGCCACTCTCAAACGCAGTTCCGGTTTTGGTAGAGAACGTGAACCACAGCAGCAGCATAAACTGTGAAGACGAGGATCTACCAGTCGCTCAGAAACGAGATGGTTCCGCGTTTACATCCAGACCTTTCTTCTTTTTGATTCTATTATTAGTTATATTTCTTCTTTTATAAATATTGTACATTCAGATTTTATATATACTGTAGATATATTATTCATTTGCATCATGCTCAAATGTCATAGATATGATTGTCTAATAAATCAATATTTTTGTCTTATTTTCTGTGCCAGATTACGGAATATGCATTTTTCAATTAGAGGCAACAGAAGCTTGACTTTGCCGATCTTCAGCTTTTTAATTACGTTCATCAGTAAGAAACGGGAAGAGACAACCGCATTTTGTTAATTTGCCTAAATTATAATCTCCATGCATTTCAAATAGTCCTCTTTTACTTTTATGAACCGATCCCAGTTTTCGCTTTATGATTAGTTAACCCCTTATAAATCTTTTATTTGAAGACTATTCCTCCCTCTCTGTAAATATTGACTGAATACATCGCTACTCATCAAAAAGACAGACAGACAAAGTAGACAGATGACTTGTTTTGCACCAGCTAAGTCTTTCTGCACCGATGAGCGAAAAATCAAGCTTAGGTGCGAAGGAAAGGTATATAGAAAGGGGGGGGCAATTTCTTATTTCAGAGGAGAGTAAAAAGGAACTTCGTACATTTTGCACGAGTTCAGTTTTCGAGTTTCACGAAAGGCCAGGAAGAAAAGATGGGACAAAATAAAATTTAAAATAAATGGCCCAAAAAATAATAGAGGGGAAAAAAAAAAAAAAAAAAAAAAAAAAGGGGCCTATAGAAAGAAAAGGAAAAGAAGTAGAAAATATCCTAAAATACGATTGTGTTCACGAGTGTAGTTAAAAGGAGAAGAAGCTGTCTTCATTTACAATAAATAGTCTCAGAGGTGTGTAGTGAGTGTGTTTGGTAATGCTGAATAGATGTTATACTGGGGGGAAAAAAAGGTGACAGTGTTAAAATGCTTCGTATTAAGGTATTTAGCATGGAATGCTTGCATCCTGAGACACAACAGCAAAAGATTTATAACATCAGACAAAAGTATATATTAATTTAACTAAAGTAACTTATGCTATTTTCGTTCCTAACATTTCTCATCAAAAAGAAGTGGCGGTTTATCGCAGACGAATACAGACAGTCGCAGCTAATGCGCTCGTACTCGAAGACCCAAAATTCTTTCAGACTAGGAAAGCCCAGGAATGCTGGAAGAGCAACAGAAAAATTGTAGATTGTTTCGATATGAAGTGTACCGAGGGGGTCTAGGACTTTTCGCCGTCGCCATTTTACCGTCGCCGTTTCGCCGTCGAGACATATTTTTCTTTATATGATTGTATTTTATCTCGCCGTATTATATTCCTATTAAATTTGTTTAGTTTAATAATTGTGTTCACCTTTTGTATACGTAATAAAGGTTGCTTATAATATTTACAAATATGAGATATAAAGAAATTACACATAGTTAGTCAGAAAATTATATCAGCATCAAAAAAAAACTGGGCTAAACCTCTGATATAAGAGAAGTTATATTATCGATTTTAAAATTATGCAGCTCTCTTAAAATTAATATGTCATGCGTAACGATGTATTTGTATAAAATTGCATAAAAACATTGTATATATTATTCAAAAGTTTTTAATGCCAGGAATTTGCTAAACTGTAAATGTTAACAAACTATCTGGTTCTTAAAGAACCAGATAGTTATTTAAATAATATTGTTATTTAAATAACAAAAATTTAAAAAGTTGTTTTATGCGATTTGTTTAAAGTACTTGCATGAAATTGCAAAATGTTTTTTTCTTTTACAATTAAGAACAGTCAGAGGTATGCAATAGGTAAACGAAATTATTAAATTAAATAAATTTAATAATACAATATGACAAGATATAATATAGACATATAAAGAAAAATATCTCTTAAATATACAATAGGTAAACGGAATTATTAAACTAAATCAACTTAATATAATAGGTCAAGTTATAATACAATCATATAAAGAAAAATATACTCGACGGTCGACGTCTCGACAACGAAACGGCCATGGCGAATAATGACATTCCCCGTTCCGACAATTCTCCATCGAGAGTGCATCCGATCTGACCTCTTAATAATATAGACCAAGCGTATCAAATCATCGTGATTGTAAATGCCTTTATTGAGAAAAAATTTACATAAACTATTTTGTCACATTTCCTGTGACATATTGCACATTTAGTGTTTCGAATCACGAGTATAATTTGTACATTGGTATTTAACAGAAAGATAGTCCTGATTACATATTTACAAATGTCGTTCTTAATTATACATTGACAGAAAACTATATTACAAAATGTATAAATCATAATTTATTATACTCATAGGACAAAAAGAAGTGCTAGATATTCATTGTTCTTGAGTACTTGATATTGTTATTCACACGATGCAATTGCACTTAATGCATGTATTGATAAACGGTGTATATGTATATAATAATATAAAGGTTACTAGAAAACGTTGTGTACATAAGCTTAATTAGAAGCTTAATACTTAATATTACACTGCAGTTCTCCGAAGTAGAACTACAAAAGAGGTCTTGATGAGACACTGAAATCCTGGAACAGAGAAATCTCCACCTAGAACGGGCAACTTGTACTAGAATGTTGAACACATGAACAGACTGTCATATAAGAAAATATGTATATAATCAGATGAACATTATAGATATAGGACAGGAAGACGCTAAATGCTGGATACACTTGTTGCTTGAACACTTAATGTTGTTATACATACGATACAAATGTCACTTAATGCATACACCGAGAGATTACTATAACATATGAGTTGCTAGGGAGAAACATGGTGGACATTAGACGCTTACTACTAATTAAAATCCCAGTCACATTATGTTTCCGCTACCCGGGACTGGACGTCGAAAGGGACAATTCTCAGAACCCGCACATTTCCAGGAAACCCACGTAGCTAGGTTAGCATTTTCACTTACTACAAAGATTTGAAGAGTAATCGATTATTGCTCAGAATGGGATCACGCGATCCTTCAGAAGCAGAACATTCGTCTGAAGGGTTGTTTTCTACGCGGGACAGAGCTGCAGCCGAAACATTTTCGGCGATATTTCAAGAAATCTCGCGTAGCCGGTATATCGTTTCCGTAGCTAGGCGGGACTTCGCTTCCAGCGGGGTTCTTTTTTTTTTTTTTTAGGAATCCTCCCGTTTAAACCAGTGCTACCAGAATTTCGTTTCTCAGAAAAGTCCAGTCAAGCAGGGACCATTGCTAGATGTGATAAGGGTTTAACGTTCTGTTATTTATTGAAGTGAAACCTCAGATGAGGATTTGAGTCATTCAATCTCCACCTAAAACGTTGAACTTGTACTGCGATGTTGTGTGGGAGAATAGGAATTTGAGTTCTTTAATAGTAGCATCTAGTTTGTTGTAAGGGACATAAGGTTCTTGATCTATGGAGTGCTCTTGAAGTTTATGAAGTGCTCTTGAAACACTTAAAAGAGGGGACTAATTGAAAGCTTAGAATTATGTAAAGAGTACCGATATTTTCCATTCCCTACATCAAAAGGCTAACGGAGAGTTTAATTGTGATATTCGAGATAGTTAGATGAAAAGTTTCATTGACAGCAATGACTTATGGTATACCACAATAAGGAACAAATTAAAATGCTCTGAAAACTAGAGTTATGATTATTAAGATTTTAACGCATAAATTAAATTTCAAAATTACGTACTCTAATTTCCTTCCATTGTAATCACGTTCATATTTAATTTAATCTATTTTAACTTTCGCCGTCTTTTTATTTTCTACCTGAAGCAAGTACTTGGTATTACGGTTGTAGCAACACTTCCATTCAGAGCAGGTTTAGAGTCAGCAACTTGATAAAGGCAATGCACAATATCGTGCATTTACTGTACCAATCATCAATTACAGAGCGACCTTGTGAGAAAAATGAGAAGTGAAATACATTGATAAATGTCACTATACAACAGGCAGACATAAATAATAAAATTTATTACTGAACAATACATCTGTATTTCATATTTTTGAAATCAAAATTCTCAATCACTAGGATCATGAGAACTTGGTTATTGGCAGTTCACTATTTGGTAGATGCCTAGTGATAGCTGCTGCTGTCTATTCTTCTGATCTCGTATACGCCTGATGCTCAACTCTGGAAGAACGAGAGAGAATTTGGGTTTTCTGCAACGTTCACATTTCCAGATATGCTATTAAGGGAACCCTTTCCGATCGTCCAATTCTCCTGTATACTAAAAAAATGTTTTAGAATTTAAAATTAGGCAAAAAAGCAGCTTTATTTTGGTATAGATTTTTAATAAGACTCTGTCAAGGATGATCAGACCCAGATGCGTCTTCTTCAGGACCTAAGCCCTTGAAATCGCTTTTTGTTCAAAATCTGAGCTAAACTAAGGTTGTGTTTTGCTTAATTTAAAATTTTAGATTGGAATGTTTCCCTTCCAATTAGAAATTTAGAAGTTAAATTCTGTCCTTAAGCTTTCTTTTCTATTCGGTTGCTTTTTTCTCGTCAAATATTCATATTGTATTGCCTAGTTCCGAAATATAGTACAAAGTCTAAGATGGGGATCTCGACGAATCTAAGATGGGGATCTCGACGTTAAACGTAATGCGTTACAAGCGATTTGGGATTTTTCCGGCCATCAGTTTAATTTATAACATGTAGAAATTGCAAAATTAAAATATAAACTAGTGATTTATGAAATTAAAATAATAAAATAGCCCAGTATTTCTGTGTTCACTTTAATAAACATTTCTTTTAATGCAAATTGTTTAAATTTTTTCCTTTTTTGTGCTAATACTCTCTTTAATTCTATATTGGCAGGCAGGCTTCTGTATTGCCACGCAGCCGGTTCGTATTTGCTTTAATTAAAAACAAAAAATATTTGTAGTTTAAGAAATTTTTATACGATTACAGACTTGTGAAGTTTAGATTACAGTTCATGAAATTTAGATTACAGTTCATGAAATTTAGATTACAGTTCATGAAGTTTAGATTACAGTTCATGACGTTTGGATTCATGAAGTTTAGATTACAGTTCATGAAGTTTAGATTCATGAAATTTAGATTACAGTTCATGACGTTTGGATTCATGGAGTTTAGATTCATGCAGTTTAGATTCATGAAATTAGATTACGTTCATGAAGTTTTGGATTCTGGAGTTT